AAAAAAAAAAAAAAAAAAAAAAATTGACTATGCTATTTACGACACCACTCAAAAAGCATACCACAACATTTCGATAAACCAAACTAAACCGATAATATTGCAACATAATATTTTTTTTTACTAAAAGTTCAGTAAGCTATGTATACAAGATTCTGATAAGTACATTCAATTGCTCTCTTTAAGAAGCTCAACCACACACTTCCTCTGTTCTCCACTCAACTCTCGAGGAAAAACAACATGAAACTTAATTATCAAATCTCCCCTCGCTCCATGCTTATTAGCTATCGGCATGCCTTTGCCTTTAATCACCTTCTCATATCCGGGAAATATAATTTCATTATGAAAATAACAGCTTATCTTTTCTCCATCGATAAGCCTAAAGGTAAATGACCAACCAGTGAGTGCATTTGCTAAGGTAACTTTTACTTTCAGTACTAGATTGTCGCCGATTCTCTTGAACAAGGGGTGGTATTTTTCTGAGATTAAGAATACAATGTCAGCAGGGAGAAACCCGGGCATTTCGTCTCCCATCGAGTCGAATATTATCTTAGTTCCTTTCCTCCATCCTGGCTTTACTGTTATTGTATGACATTCTTGCTTTTGGAGAACCCACCTGCAATATTAGGGGGCAAAAGGCAAATAAAAGAGGTTAACTAAATAATTCTCTCACGGAATGAAAAACTAAAATTTTTCCGTTCAATAAATTCTTAAGCAAATGTCTCTTAATCTTACTACTGCATAGTCATTATGATTATTTGTAGAGCAAGGTGTTTACCATCTGCCAAGGAAAAAGGTTGTTACGATACATGACACTTTAGTAGCGCATGACAAACTATGTAGGCAATGTACATCATACAGTTTACTTCTCAAAATCTATATCGCAATTATAGCAAGAATAATAATCATAATAAGATGATGAAGAAGAAGAAGAAGAGAAGGAAAAAATGTATACCAAATTTCTCCTCGTGTCAGAATACTTTCACCGAAAACTAACCAGAAGAACTTCCCCTTAATAGGATTTTGTCAGTTATCACGTAGTTATTATAACTTTGATGTTAGTTCAAAGACTTCTCAAATGATCATTTCTACTCTCTGAGTACTTTGGAATCATAATACAATTTACAACTATCAGCTATATATATATATATGCATATCAAATTTACTTACCCAGCGTTTGTGACGACATCTCTTGTAAACTTGACTTCTTTCTTGCAACCCCAAAAGAGCTCCTCAAGTGTGCATTCAAGCTTGCTCTCTTTTGGCATAGGCTTCCTCTTTACATCATTAGAGACTGAGCTACATGACCTCTTTAAGTTCAAGTGCGTATTTCCATGGACACTGGCTTTATTTGTAAACTCCTGATCGCTAAGCGCCTATAAAGAAAATTATGACAATTAATCCTACATGAATATATATTCTTCTCTAAGAGATTCATACATAGTGAGGGTAATCAAGCTTAATATATAGTATGTTTTTTATAAATACCTCATAGGCTTGAGAGATGGCTTTGAATTTGGCCTCTGCCTCTCGTTTGGAGGAGACCGGGTGCTTGTCAGGATGCCATTTTTTCGCAAGAATTTTATAGGCTTTTCGGATTTCTTGAGGAGAGGAGTCCTCTGAAAGGTTTAGGACCTCATAGAACTTAGAGGGGTTGGCCATGGATTAAGACTTAATACAGGAGATTAATAATAGTGATGCTCTTAAACACTTCATGAACTAGCTAGAAGCTATATAAAGGAGGAAAATTAAGCAAGAAAACATTCGTAGTGGAGTGTTGGAGCTATGTTGCTGGAGCTACAAGCTCCATAGAAATCCAATATCTTGAAGTTTAGATCAACTTGGTGTATAGTATTATATATACTATATCAAAATTATGTTTCACTGATCCTTGTTTTCCTATGAAGCAATCTATTCATCAGCTACTTCTGCTTAAAACCTTCTTGAATGAATTTTTAAACAATTTCGCTTGAGGGAGGTTGAACCAATGAGACACTAATATATTGTCCCTGGATTTATTTTAAAGTCCGCTAGGTGGCTGACTTAACCTATTCCATTCCTTTACTCTTATTAAAACTAAGTCTCATTCCTGTGAATAACATAGTATTGAGTAATATATATATATATATATTCGTTTTTTTTTTGAATGAAAAATGAATAAAAATTGCACTCATTGAGTATGAAAATGTTGTAGATTACTATTAGATGGTCACAACACCTTATAGTACTGTTGGACCACTGGCTTGTTGTTTAGTAATCTGATATGCGTTTGGTCACCAAATTAAACCATATTTCTTAATTTAGTTTTAGGAATTAACATCACTTTCATCTTTACGGTAATGTGTGGCCCGGACTTATATTGTTAAGCTAAAGATATTGTTATGACTACTATAATTAGCAATATAGAACTAAGAAGATACTTCTATTAGTCGGTGATCTGTCGAATCTTTACTGAGGAGTCCACTAAATTTCGCATCTCAGGTACAATTCAGACTTTAAACAAGTACTATTCTCTTATCTTAATAAACTATTAGCGCTAATTATAGGAAGAGTACGTAAAGGCATCATGATATCATGGAAAATAAAAGATCTACAGATGATTTGTTAGTTGGAGTGTCTCTTTAACTGAGGAAGAGGAGAAATGTAAACAATCAATCATTCATGAAGAAGAAAAAGAAAGCTATGAACTCGAAGAAACTCAAAAATGTCATTCAGTCAGATTTAGGTTATTTCCTTTCTCTTGTTTACTTATTTTAACCACAACCCAACTGGATTACTTTCAATACGGTAAACTTTAATTGTTAAGGGTTGTCAAATGGGTGGAGTGGGGTGGGTTTTGGATGGGTCATAAATGGATGGGCACACTTTAATTGTTAAATGGATCACTTCTCGTCCATCTTTTTATTAAATGAGGGGTCCATAGGTTACCCAATAACTCATTTACCTATTAGGCTTTTATATATAAAAACCTTTTAAGGGTCTATTTGCAAATGTGAGGGAAAACATGTAACTTTTAAGGACCTATTTGTAAACTTTTGGGGGCTTTCTGCAAACATTTGGGGGTTTTCTGCAAACATCGAGGATTTTTGCAAACTAATGAGGTCTTTTAAGGGTATTTGCAAACTAACGAGGTATTTTACTGCCCTATAAATATTATTAACATCAGAGATCAATGGTTGTAAAATATAATTAATTAATACCAAACTATATATTATATTTTAATTAGTTATATGTAATATAGTCCTTTATTAATTAACTAATGCTATCAAGAGTAAATTACACAAAACCCCTGAGAACTTTCAGCATTTTGTAGTAAATCCCGATTAACTTTCAAAATCTAAAAAGATTTCTTTAGTAGTTTTTGGAATTGCAAAAAAAAAACCCAATAAATTACCGTATTTCTTAGATAAACCATATAAATTAGAACAGAAAAACTACAAAAAAGGCATTCTGAAAGGTATCAGGTTTTTAGCATAATTTACCTAATAGATATTGAGGTTTAATGCAAAAGTTATTGGGGGTTTATCGATATATTTTGTCTTATGCTCTAAATGTAAATTTTTTTTATTTGATGCAAACTCCCTATCAAATCTGGTGTAGCTTTGAAACTCAATTGTCTCTGGCGATTGTATTGTATAAAAGGCATATAATTCATTTGAAATATTCACATCTGCTAGGTGGATTTTACTGTTGTGATAGCAAAATGTTGGGGGCTCGTGTTCAAACTTTTTGACTCCACAATAGACATAAGACTTTGGAATGCGTAGCTTATATAGTAAAGAACATATTAGTTCATGAAGAATTTGCTCTAGCACAGATATAAGTATTAATAAACTAATATATAATGTTATATGACCCTTTTAATAAATCATAAAGTATATCTCACCAGCCTTTGACGCTCACAGGCCAGTAGTAGGGCTCCGCAAAATATGTCAACTTTATGTTGTCGTTTGCTATTAATAGTATTACCAGTACTTTGTCTCTTTTTCTTATTATCTGCACTTCTTTGAATGTAAGCTTTCTTCTGCTCATCTCTCAACTGAACATATTTTATTTTTTTCTAATAGTGGAGATTGGAGTGTTCTGTTCTATTTAAATTTTTTTTTATATGGTCTTATTAATACACACACACACTATATATATATATAGATTTTATGCCAATTAAAACTTATTAATAAATTATTCTTGTAAGATAGATATACAATATGTTATGAGCAATAATATACAATATGAACAAAGAGATATATACTATATGATAAAATATATGCAATGATATATAAACAACACAAGGGGAAACAATCTAAACTAAAGATACAATTGAGATAGGGCAATATAAACAATACAAACACACAATATGATCACGGAGTTCGGACCTTCCGTCTTACGTCTCCGCTCCCCACTCCCGGGGAGAAATTCACTATCACAACCGAGTTTTCTACGCTCACCCGAATAACGTTTACACCTCACACTCGGTTTTTTAGCTAACCGAAAATTTTACAATCTCACGCTCTTACAATCCCACTTTACACCCTCTTAAGTGTTGGTCTCTAGTCCGTGTCTTCCTCAATTGTTAGGAATTACAACCTCTTTCTAGGCATTACCACCTACTGCACTCCTCTTAGGATGACCACGTCTCTCACCACACACTCCTCTCGGTGTACAAGTGTATTACAAAGTGATCTACACAATTAAGGCTCACAAATACAAATTTGTTCTCTACAATAGATGAGAACTCAATTAAGCTCACTCTCAATTGTTATAATTCCTCATAACCCAATTATACAATGTATGCAAATACAACAAGCTCAATGATTGTGTGTGTAAGCAATAAGAAAATTAACCATAAACTCAATGTAAACCCTAGCTTGATGAAAATGATAAACAACAAATAATTAATACAAAGTTAGTATTGAGTTTAGAAATTCTTCTCTGAAAAACAAGATGGAGAGATGGATTAAAATGAAGCTTCAAACAATGTAGATGATCTCCTCCCTTGTAAGAAACTTCTTCACAAACAAACTCTTTTAAAACATACTAAACAAACTTTAAAACCCCTGTTAAACTTGTTTAAAACATTTTTTAGATAATTGTAAGAACTGATGTATAATGGGGTATTTATATGAAACCCCAAAGCCAAGAGAAAGCCAAGAAAAGACAAAAAAACCAACCCAAAAAACGGCTCTGGAAACTAGCCGTTGGAAGCTGAAAGATAGTTTGGCGGTCGACCGTGAAAAATGCGCAGTCAACCACGAGCAGGTCCAGAAACTAATTTGGGCTCTGGATATCAGCCGGTCGACCGTGGCGGGCGACCGCAAAACTCTCTAGACCCCGAGCCATTGAAAATCAATCTGAGTCTCTGGACTCCAGGCGGTCGACCGTAAACTGATATATGACAATATGCAGGTTTGAAGCAGTTTTCTAATTTTGAAACCCTGTTTAAAAATATCAAACAAATTCCAAAAATTATGAAACTTTGGGAAATGATTGTAGACATGATAATAAACATGTTATAAAAACTGGTTTACAAAAAGAACCTCCCAAATAAAAAATATCATTATTTTACAAAATAGTCCAAAACATAAAAATGTAAACACATGGGTTTTGACATTTTAGCTTAACCATGTTTTGAAACATTACAAAATAATTTTGTAGACTTAATAAAAGATGTATATGATTATTGTTAAGTCCAAAAACTTAGAATACAATATTTTCACAAAATTGCATATTTTGCAAACTTTTCAAAAATAATAAATATGATTTCATTGAACTAAATAAAATTGATATTGATAAAATTATATATATGCATATAAGTATGAAACAAGAAATGTATTTTCAATTGTATTCAATTGTTTCATATTAAAACTTGAAAACTATCAAACCAAAACATATATGTATATATAAAACTATATGTATACATAGAAACCAAAATTAAAGTGATATATATATATATATAATATATATATTATATATATATATATATATATATATATTATAATAATATATATATATATATAATATATATATATAATATATATATATATATATATATATATATATATATATAATATATATATATATTATATATATATATAAACCAAAACTTGTGTTGTATATATATATATACACTACATATATATACAAGAAACCAATTAAAATGCTGTGTGTATATTGATTGAGCCTTAAAGTACTTAACCACACATAATTATAAACTCCCTAAACTAGATTACTCAGCTATAGGTCTTCATAAGCTCGACATGCGACTAACTTGTGATGACATGAAGCCCTTGACTTGAATCATTTTAATTTGAATTGCGATAGATTCACTCCACTATTCTGCCAACCTCCATTGGAGATTTATCGTTGAAGCTCAATTAACATCCATCCTCCACTCGTTGTTTGTCTACAATAAATCAGAAATACTTAAACACTTAGAACAAACAACTTATGTTGGCCAAATTATTTGTTAAACATCATCAAAACAAAGAGGGCCAAGCCTATATATAATATATATTATAATATATATATATATATATATATTATATTATATATATATATTATATATATATATATATATATAATATATATATATATATATATATACTATATATATATATAATCAATGCAAACCTTAGCTTGAAGCCAGTTTGAATAAGGTCATTTATGCTAGAAAGTGTTGTATAGTGGTTATGTAATCCAAAAACCAGAGAATAAATTTCTACAAAGGAAAATCATATGTCATATTATTATTAATTTATAAATACATATGAGCAATGTAGATAGTTAGACAAAGTAACATATATTTTCATAAAAATTCAATAGTAAACAACCAACTATAATCACTATCACAATTGAAATATATAAATTATTGATATTCCTTACTAACCCGATGATACTCGTAATCATGGAGTAAATCTTGAGTACGAAATTAAAATTAAGATTGTATTATCCTATAGGTAAACAAATAGCGTATCAAAAAATAAAAAACTATAAGAAAATTATATCAAAAAAGTACTGCACAATAGTTGATTACAATTAGAATTTCTTTTTTTTAAAGGTGATATATAGATAATATGAGTCTTGGTTCATTTTAGGAAATCAATAGGGGGTGTCATGCAAAATTGGAAGTATGATGTGGCTTAACTACAAAACTGCACTTGTAAGTTTGGGTGGTGCATGAGCAGAGTATTTGAGTGATAGAAGTGTTGTATAAGATTGAGAACTTAACTATATATGTAGACATATATGCTAGGGGGTCCATTTGGAAAATATAGAAAATTTCGCGAGGACCTTTATAAAATATTAAAATTTGTGAACCAAATATTTAAAAAGTTTGTGACTTTGCTTGCTATAGGTTGTTGTGATAAAACTCTAACTTAACATAATTTAACATAGAAAATAAATATTAGAAAAGGTTATCACGGTAAGTGAATAGTAAATGGATAAGGAGTCCTTTTCTAAGTTGCAATTCTTGATTTATAACCTTCATTTATATAATTAACTGCATGTTATGAACAAAAATTATAATTAACTACATAATGCAAATCTTGACTTATTTATTTATACAAGTTGAGCCAATCACCTCTCCTCCTAAATCACTTGCTTTCCTTACCAACCAACACATTAATATTTCTATAACCCAGTGATCGATATGCGGTCAAAACGTCTCCGTCTTACAGTACTCATGACTGACAACACATTCAAGTAAATGGCTTCGACCTACGATACTCACGACTGGCAAACAGTCAAATAAATGGCTTTGACCTATGGTATGATGACCGATAGATAGTCAAATAAAAAAAAGATTCATCTTTTATAGATGACGTGATCGAATAAAGGACTAATGTGGGCTAACAAATTGTGCATATGCAGAGTAAACAAATAAGAATAAAATAATAAAAGTGGATTTGCATAAACTCAACAACAATGCATGTGAGTTGTATATCCACGTTGATGGATGCGGATAATAAAAAAACAAAACAAAAAAGAAAGAAGAATTCACAATAACGTAAAACAACACACACCCACACACCAAAAAAAAAGAGGACTTCGTTGTGTATAGTTCCAAACCGGTTGTGCAAAATAATAATAATACTTAAGTCGTATATAATTATATAAGATCTTAACTCTGTCACATTGCACATAAGAGAAATTATTGACAAATCGCTTGCAAAATACATGATCATGCTCGTATGTATGATTCATATCAACCAGATACGTGTCCATGTAAAAATAAATAAATAAGCATGAAATACATAAAGCAAAACAAATAAATAAAGAAAAGGAAGGGAAGAACATAAATTTTGTACGTACTTTCAATCCGCAACCTCCAAAGTTGATGAGCGCTTCTCTATACAATGTTGATGTTCTAATATTATGGATACATCCTTGTGATAGTGATAAATAGTTGGCTTGTGAACTGACTCCTACTAAGAAAAGGATTTCATTTGTTTTAAAGTTGAGTTGGATTCGTAGTCCTAATAATAAAAGAAAGTATACATTTGATTTATTTGTTTACAATTCTTAAAAGATGAGATGAAACCTTCAATAACCTGGACTCTAAGCCTCGTGCAATGACACATTAACTAATCAACTATAATATCAATAAGAACCCTACTCAAATTAGGACAAGGCCTTCACCCCTTTGCAAATAGACTTGAAATAGCGGATAACAATTGCAAATAGAGTTCTATTTAAATAATCTAATCTAATAAAAAATTAACAAAGACACATACATGTTGAAGAAGATGAAAGTGTTGTAAAAATTATTATTTGCTTTAAAATAATCTAATCTAATCTAATAAGAAGAAATAGACTTGATAGGAAAAAAAGATAATCTAATCTAATCTAATCTAGTAAGAAGAAAACAACAAAATCACATACCTATAGAAGGAGATAAAAGTTCTATGAAAGTTGCTCTAATTTCTTAGCTAATATATATATTGGTATGTGATGTTACATATGAGAGGATAATAATTGCAAATAAAGTTCTATTTAAATAATAATAGTATAATTTCTTAAACTTTGAAATACTTTTTTTTCACCTTAACACTGCTAGAAAATAAACTATTACCGACGGTACTTTAGCGACGGAAAATTCCGTCGCTATAAGTCATATTATAGCGACGGAATTTTCCGTCGCTATTTTTTCGTCGGTAATAAAGTTTTGCTGACGAAAATTTCATTATTGGCGACGGAAAATTTCCGTCACTATTAATTTCCTGACGGAAATTTTCTGTCAGGAAATTTTCGTCGCTAAAACCATTTTTAACGACGGAATTTTCGTCGCTAAAAGTAATTTCCGTCACTAAAATCTAAAAGTTAGAAAAAATTTTGGGCGCGGGCATGCCCAAAAAAATTGGACAGCCCGCGCCCGAGAGAGTTTTTTCCCCGAATCCCTCTCATTTCCCCATCTCTCCTCATGTCCCCTCCCCCTAGCTCCCTCTCCTCATCCCCCCCTCCCCTCTTCTCGAATCTGCCCTCCTCTCCCGCGCCCGGCCTCAATCCAAGTGAAAATGGCGATCAGGAGAAATCCATTCATTTCCTCCCTCTCCCCCCCTCTGCCTACTCTCCAATTCCTGCCCTGATCCTCAAACATCTAGGGCTTTCGCTCGCCATTTCCTCTCCTCGCCAAACCCTAGGGCTCAAATCCACTTTCTTCGCTCCCTCTTACGGAATTCTAGGGTTTCGAGAGCCTTCGCCTCCTCGTCGGAAACGGGCGGCGGCGGCGGAGCATCCGCGTGCTGGAACTGCGGGGCGGCGGCGGACTATTTTTCTCATATGCGGATCGTGTAGAAGTGTCCAGCCTGTGGATCATTCGGTGGATTATTTCAAGATTTTTGGGCTGTAAGTAATTTTTTATTGTTTCCGATTCTTGTTTATATTGTTTTGAATGTTTTAATTTTTGGAAAATTAAGGCCCGTGCTAAAAAGTTTCAATTTTGGGTTCTGTTCACAGAGCTAATATTCATCATTGGACCTTATTGAGAAACTAAAAGCAAATTGCTTATGAGCACAGTTATGCATGATTATCTACGATGATACTCTTACCTATTAGAAGTCAGAACAACATAATCGTGTTATGTTTTAGTTGAAGTGAAGGAAATGAAGGAACTTGTTAGAATGTCAAAACCACAGGCTTAAAATAGGCTAGAGGAAATCGGGTGAATGTGTCCTTTTGGCGGCTACAAGAGAATTTTAGGGTAGGAATTCAATGGATTCCGGAGAATGATGATGTACTATCTCCTGAAGTCAGAGGGAATTATTACGATGGATCTAGATATGAAACTTTAATCCAAGTATCCGTCATCAAAAGATAATAAGAATGTAGACCCGCCGCCCAATCCCTCTCTCTCTCAAGGTACCTCGCTCCCCTCCATCTATCTTTCTCTCTCCGCCCAATTTTATATTCTGCCGAGGTGCTTTTCGTAATTAAAAAAAATTATGAGGATGTGTTTGTGTAAATTCGGTGTTTTCGTGCAGGTGGTGCAGAAGGCGTACGTGAAGAATGAAGGGGGAGGGGCGCCGCCGAATCAGGTGGCGGGAGAGATCCTGTCGTTTTTCACGAGGAATAACTTCGCCGTCGCCGACTGAGGAGAGACCATCACGTGAGTCAGTCAATTGATTTCATTCAGTAGTTGAGTTTGTTTATTTATTTTTTTACTAAATAAATTATTGTAATCTGTTTCGAATTAGAAATAAAATTAATTGAGATATAGACGCGTTATAGTTAGAATAATAATGACATATATGTCCTGAATATAAACGTAGAATTGTGACAAGAAGCAGAGAGCATCCAAATTCATTATTAGATACATAGACTCAAAACTATGGATTGATTATGGATAAGTTATTTGATGCATTAATTGAGCAATAATTTCAAGCACTATAGTTTTCTAACATGTAGATCTTGGATTGTAAGTGTTCACAGTCTACATTATCATGAGAGTTGTCCTACTCTTGTATTACTAGAGACACGGAAGCGCGGAGTCCATAACAACTCATTATTTCACTTTGCAATTTATAGGAAAGGAGAGTAGTATAACTCTTGTAGTACAGTTATCCTTGCTCCTTTATATATTTGAGGAAGTACGGGAGCTCCAGTATGATGTTATTGATCAGATTAAGGAACATATATGACATTATTTGAAACCGTAGTAAAGCTGAACAAGAGCATTCATAAGATATGCATTGTTTTATGCATGAGTATGCATCACTCAGATACAAGTTTATCGTGTTTGATCAAAAGAATTATATATACTCTCAGATAGATATACTTTACTTTTTTAAATTAAATGAATTAAATATATAATTTTAATATATATGCTCTCTATTGTTTGATCAAAAAAATTAAATATATAATTATATATACTCTCTATTGTATGCCAAGTTGATAATGCATCATGAAGAACAAAAATATTTTCTTGGGAAAAGCATAACAATGCATCATGAAGAGCCAATATCTTTAATTGGAAAAATCATACTTATGCATAAATAGTTCAGAAAGTGGATGTTCATTGACACAATGAGTGAACACATTTTGCTATCAATTGATTTTTTTAATCACAAGTGGTTTATGGTCAAAAGCTTGACTTGATTCACTATCCCGATAGTCACACACAATTGATTTGTATCTTTAGCTTAATAGTCATGGGCGAACAATGAACATTCATAATGAGATATTGTTGTGCATTTGTTTGTGTCATTATGGTTTTCCTTTTTAGGTTGATGAGATTAAAGAAGTGATAATCAGAGATGGGGCATAAAAGATGCAGGCAACTAGTCAGAGTTTAGTTAGTGGAGTGGTGAGGATTACAGGTATACCTAAATGGATGTGGAGCTGCAGCAGTTACAAGGATGTGATATTCTTAATTAATAGAGAAGGGGGGCCTTGATAGAGCTGGCCGGAGATTCGTATAGGGCACACCAGACATGGGATAAAGTTGAGCTGCTGCTATTGTTGTATTAGGTTTTAATTAGTGTGTTTCCACTGTGCACAAAGTAGTGGGAACTAAGAAAAGTGAATATGAAAAATGTTAGCCAGGCCTATTCTTCTTCCAATCCTCAGATGTAGCAAGCATGAGTTTGTGGAGGCAAGATAGAGGGGGCCTTCAGATAGTTTTTCTTGCTAACTCTAATGATCAAAGTTTATGTTTAATATGAGCTCATTATGTACTACTCCTATGGTTGTTCTGCAAGTTATATGTACTGGTACTGTTTGGGTGGGTGGGTGGGGGCTTTGGTCGTGGTTGAGGAAGGGGAGGAGTACGGATTTGGTGCGTGTACGAGTGCGTGCGTGCGTATACGCGTGCATGCGTGTACATAAGAAATAGAATATGTGCGTGCGTATAATACATAAGAATATGTCATGATACTCTCTTTGAAACATATAATACATAAGAATATGTCATGATACTCTCTTATTGTTATACTTGCATGTCATGCCATGTTGTTAACGTTTGATTTATATTTGCAGGTCTGGATTTCTAGACAAGGTGGAGCTGGTGATGATGAGGAGGATGATGATCAGGAGGACTGATTTGTTTTTTACCTTTGGAAACAATGAGTGTGTGATGTATAAACAATATTTATCATGATGTGTGTTGTATAAATAATTTTAATTATCTTGGGATATTTTTATTAAAATATGTGTTATATATGCGTGAGAATGAATATTATACTGTTGATTGAACAGAGTTTTAAATTTATTATATTATTGTACAGGTTTTTTTTAATTTTCAAAATAATTTTAAAAAAAATATTAGATATATTTAGCCACGGATTTTCCGTCGCTATAGGTACTTTTAGCGACGGATTTTCCGTCGCTAATGTTACTTTTAGCGACGGAAAATATTTTTTTCTTTTTTTAAAAAAAATAGAACGACGGATTTTTCGTTGCTAATTTTTCGTCGCTAACTTTTAGCGACGGAAAATCCGTCGCTAAAAGTGATTTTAGCTACCCTTAATGTACGGACGGTATTTTGGCGACAGAATTTTATTTTTTCCGTCGCTAAAAGTTTTAGCGATGGATTTTCGACTTTTAGCGACGGGTTTGTCCGTCGCTAAAAGTCTTGTTTCTAGTAGTGCTTGCTTCCTTATGTTATATATCGTAATGATTTTAAATTAGTAAGTCAGCATACTTTAATAAAAGTTTGGTTTTGAATTGTAGGGTTTCTACTCCTATCGAAACATGTTTAGGGTCAAAGCACGATTATGTATAAATATTTTGAAATAAGAGCACTAAATCCTATTATAGGATTTCTATTCCTATCAATACACGTTTAGGGTCACTAAATCCTATTGTAGGATTTCTACTCCTATTAAAACACGTTTAGGGTCAAAGCACAGTTATGGATAAATATTTTTAAATAAATCAATTTACTATTACTTAATGGATTAGTATTTGAATTCTAAAGGTATTTTTGTCTACCGAAAGATTTTTCCGAACTCGTGTTTTTAAAAGGAGTATGATTTAACTAAATGGGTAGGATCGAATGGGTCATTTAGTGGGTGAATATGGGTGGGCAAGTGGGTTTGGGTTGATTTTGCCACCTACACCTTTAGCTTCATCACTGCTTGATAGAAGCTAATGCAGACTCTTGAGTTGAATCATCCCCTTGAGATTTTTGGTTTTTTTCTTATGAAAAGTGACCATCCAGAAAATAACAAAGTAAGCAATATTAAATGCCACTATCTCAGCCGAAATCTTGACCCCATTAAAAATCAATTTTTTTTCTAGTTTTCCAAAGGCACTAACAAACTTTAGGAAAAATGATCTCCTATAAAATTTGAAGATTTTTATCATGAATGAAGGATTCACTGCAAAAAAAAAGGGATTGTTCCACTAGACTGGGCAAATTAGATATAGACAAATAGTGGTTAAAAATGTTCTAAATAGACTTGGTGTTAGTCTAAGTGTAGACCCAAAGCTGAAGCTGAATGTGGAATCAAGAAGATGAAGCAAAACGAAGGAAACAGGAAAACTACAGTGCGGTTGACCGCGATACTCTCTGCGGTCGACTGCGAACGTGCACACTACTGAGAAAAGTCACTGGACTTTTCACGGTCGACCCGATGGGTTCTATGGTCGATCGTATATACCCTGTAGGCATTTTAGGTTTCTGTCGCTTATCCGGTCAATCGCGACTAGTTCGACGGTCGACCGTGAGCCGAGCTGGCAGTTTCCTAATATGTTTTGAATTCTGTTTGGGATAGGATTCATATATATATCTATATGTTTTCTAGGGCTAATAAGACAACGTGAAAAACCATCAGAAAGAGAGAAAAAGAGTGAGAATCTCAGAGAGATTAATCCATTGTTTGAGTGTTTGTATTCCTTCTTCAATTAATCAAAAAGATTGTGTGGTATGGCTCCCGAGGACGTAGGCACATTGTCAAACCTCGTTAAATTCATGTGTTCTCTCTTGTTCTTATTTCTGCAAGTTTTTATTTTTGATTTTTGGTGAATTTCTTTCTTGCTCAACTTTCTAATAAGGTCCGGAAGGGCAAGAGTTCGATTTGATTGTTTCGAATCATCAACAACTGGTATCAAAGCTTCGTTCGGTAATTTATGAGAAAGCCATGGTAGAGAAAATCAACTCTAAGATCGAGAAGTTTGACGATTAATTCAGACTTCGCCTACTGGAAGTCGTAGATGGAGGACCATCTATACCAGAAGGACTTGTATCGCCTATTAATGGGCAAGGATAAGGAACAGAAGAAAGTGGAGTCAGACGATGATTGAGAGATACTGGATAAGAAGGCTCTAGGATAAATCCGGTTGTCTCTCGTCAAGACAGTAGCCCACAATATCTTGAAGGAGAAGATAACGGTAGGGCTTATGGAAGCACTCGCGAAGATGTATGAGCAACCATCTGTAGCAAACAAGGTGCATCTGGTCAAAACTCTTTTCAACCTCAAGATGGCAGAAGGACGATCCTTCACAATGCACCTCAGTGAGTTCAACATGATTGTTGATCAGCTTATCTCCGTAGACATCACGTTCAATGATGAAGTGCAGACCTTTTATTACTATCACAGTTACCGAATAGTTGGGCATGTTATGTGACGGCAATCAGTAATTTGGCGGGAAAGGAAAAGTTAAAGTTGAGTGAGGTGGTCAGTATGATTCTAATCGAGGAGGTTAGAAGAAAAGTGTTCAAATCAGAAGGTTCAGGTTCAGTCCTAAACTTCAAGCAGAGAGACAGAAGCCAGAAGAAAGAGAACTAGAACAAGAATCGATCGAAGTCAGTGAAGAAGAGGTCAAACTCGAAGGTTAGGCCTATCAAAGGAAAGTGTTGGAACTGCGGCCAGGGAAGGTTAGGCCTATCAAAGGAAAGTGTTGGAACTGCGGCCAGGAGGGCCATATGTCTTCAGTCTGCAAGAGTCCAAAGAAGGAAGGAAAGTGTTGGAACTGCGGCCAGGAGGGCCATATGTCTTCAGTCTGCAAGAGTCCAAAGAAGGATGCTGGTGAGCAGGAGGCTCATATCATGCAAGATGCTTTGATCATTGCTATGGACAACAATTCAGATTCTTAGGTCGTCGACTCAGGAGCCTCTTTCCACGCCACTGCTAATAAGAAGCTTCTTCAGAATTATATAGCAGGGAACTTTTGAAAAGTGTATTTGGGGGACAATGAGCCCTATAATATTATTGAAAAAGGTGATGTGCAGATTCAGATGAAGGGCTCTAAGTGGAACTTGAAGAACGTGAGACACATACTGAAGCTGAAGAGGAATCTTGTTTCGGTAGGACAGCTTGGAGCAGAATGTTATGTTTCGACATTCACATGGGATTCATAAAGAATCTCCAACGTACAATGGTAGTTGCCCGAGGCAACAAATTAGGTACTCTCTACCTTACCTCATATGCGAGTGACATCCTCACAATTATAGCTGGCAAAGAGAGTACAGATCTGTGGCACAACAGGCTAGGACACATGAGCGAGAAAGGGATGAATATCTTACATTCACAGGGAAAGCTAACCGGGATCGATTCTGTGGAAGTCCGAGTTTGTGAAGACTGTATCTTTGGGAAGCAGAAGATGGTTAGTTTCCAAAAGGGTAGAAGGTCACCTAAGACTCAGAAGCTAGAGTTGATTCATACAGATATATGGGGTCCAGCCAATGTGTCTTTTTTTGGCGGTTCTAGATATTATGTCACCTTTATCGACGATTACTCGAGAAAGGTGTGAGTTTACTTCATGAAGCACAAGTCAGAGGTGTTCAAGGTCTTCAAGAAGTGGAAGGCTATGGTGGAGAACGAGACAGATCTAAAATGAAGTGTCTGAGATCAGACAATGGTGGAGAATACGAGCTAGAGGAGTTCAAGAGATTCTGTGCTACGAATGATATTCGCTTAGAAAGGACTACTCTAGGGACGTCGCAATAGAACGACATTGTAGAGAGGATGAACAGGACTTTGACTGAGCGTGCCAGGAGCATACGATTACATGCGGGTCTACCTAAGCTATTACTCTTTATGATGAATGAGTCGACTAGATCTCCTTCTCCTCTCTGAAAATTCATGCTCATTCAGTCTCCTAACCGATAGGGCTTCGCCAAAGCTCGAGAATTCTAGATTTGTTCAAATAAAGGCCCTATGGCTGTATTTATAGGCTTCAGAAGCCCTGTTTTTGGATAAGAATGAACGATTTGCTCTTATCCTCAGTTGTAATCACTTAACCACGTTCAAAGATAACCTCAAATTAGTTTGGGAGACTGCAGATAGGATCTTA